GTCAGCGCCCGGGGTGGACCAGCACCAAGCGCTTGACACTGAGCACAGCAACATCTGGACCAGGGCACTGGCGGCATGGGTGACCTGGGGGGCGGCGGCGACTTGGGTGTGGCAATGGTGCAAAAGCCGCCGGCAGCGGCGCGGGCCGCAGCCACGTGCTTGCCGCCCCGAGCGGCGGCCCGCGCTCGTGGGTCCACCACGCCATCCACGCAGAATGCGCCATCGCTGCAGGAGCATGCAGCGCAGGATTCGGTGCCGGTGGGCAGCGGCTGGCATCGGCAGCTGCTGCCGGCGGCACAGCAAGGGTGCCCAAGGCCGGCGCGTGCTGCGGGATGAACTCCGCAGAAGAGGCGAGGTGCCAGCCACCTCACCTCTTCACCTCAAATTTGGCAACGTTGCTTCGCTCGCTTTCGGCGCCTTCCTGCACGCCACCCGCGGCGGGACAGGCCACTTCAACTTGAAGTAAGGAGCCGCGAGCATCGGGCAGCGCCTCTCGCATACCCTCCCTTCCGCATGGCGACTCACAAAAGTTGCAAAAACTTCAATGGTCGACTCCACATCTTTGGCAACCGGTGCTGGCAACGTGAGGAACCTCTGCAGTGGCGCAGGGGGTGCGGGGTCCCTTGCTGAGACAGCACTGGGCCCGGCAGCGCGCGTGCCGGAGGTCCACGCTGCACCGGCGGCACGTCCCACCTGAGTGCCAGCTGGATCATCTGGATCTTTCACCCCCAGATATTTTGGAGGGTCCGGGTCCCAGTCTCCATTGAAAAACACCAAGTACCGGTAGTCAACTGCGCCACCAACAAACACAGCACGACGCATTGTGGGACAGGGCGCTCTGGGGATGGGTGCACCAGGTGCGTTGTGAGCCACGCCGCATGCAAGCAGGTGCGGCCTGGTACAGCCACCGGCGTGCGCGGCTCACCCAGCCTGTCTGGCGGGTCAACCGTCACTTGCAGCAGCCCGTCGTCTCGCAGCTTCAGGTCGGTGATCAGCGGGACAGGGATGCTGCAGCAGCAGCAGCGCACACAGTGCTTCCCAGGGTGTGAGGGGCAGGGTGTGAGGGGTGAGGGGCAGGCAGGCCCATGAACAGACCAGCAGTGGCCCCCTGCCCCAGCGGGGTCGATCTGCCAGGCATGCGTGTACCTGGAGGGATAGAGCGTCCTGACCCGCTCCCCGGCGCCAGTCTGCAGGAAGGCACATCACCGTGTGGAACACCGCGTATGGAACAGCGCAGACGCACGATGTAGCCCCAGCGGCAGGCGCGGCTCAAAAGGCTGGCTCAAAAGGCCCGACCGGGTTGGTGGGAGTGGCGGTGATAAGGTACCGTCTGTCTGCCGCCAGCGGTACCCCCGGAATAGTGGCTCTGAAGTTCGCCTGTGTCACACGCGTATCCAACGCCTCGGCGGGGCCAGCCGCAAGGGAGCCGCCCCCGCCCACGAGTGGCGTGGCCGTCACAGCCCACTTGACCGCTGCACATGAAACAGGAACGTGCAACCTTGCCTCCCGGGCACCTCGAGCCACATCCGGACCACAACAGCAAGTCACACCGCAGCGAATGTACAATGTAGCAGGCACCGGTGCAGGTAAAAGGTAAAGGTAAAGGTGGGGAAGAGCCTCCACAAGCTTAACTTCCCGGTTTTAACGTCTAGCTTTAGACCATTATTTGATCTGCCCGACGCGCCAAGTGCAGTACCCCCCACTAGTAGTGAATGGGTCCCGGGGAGGCCTGTGCCGAAGCCTTGGCGATTCTATTAGGCGTTCCCGAAGGAATTGGCTTGGATTGGCGCTGAGCCGGTCAGCTATGCCGCGTTTGTCCTCACAAAGTTTCGACATGGGAGGAATCGAACCTGTGCCCTCTCGGAGGGTTTGGACACTAGCTCCAGCGCCTTCAAAGAAGGCCTTTCTTAGCCGCGGCTTAGCCATCTGAGCCAAGCGCCTCACCTAAAACGCCGGTGTCGCAGGCGAGGCGCACCACAAGGTCTCCGTTAACAGCCGTCACGCTGGCAATGCGGGGGTTGCTGGGAGGTCTGCACACACAAAAAAGGAGCATCCAGGGTGTCGGGCTGTCTGTACACACCGCGCAGACAAAGGCGGGCCAGCAGCGGGGCTCACTGTACTGTCACTTCCCGAATAGCCTTGACCCTGACAATCTGCACGAGGTGGGCACACACGCGATTGGGTGGATTTGCACAGCCGAGGCAGCTTGCGCAGGAGGGAAGCGTGGGCGCTTGCAGCATGCATAACGCGCAGAGCACGGCCATTTCACCAACATGCACCTCGTTCACAGCCCACGCAGTGAAGGTGTATGATACTCCAGGTGCTGGACCTGAGGCGAATGTGAGGCGCACCTGCAGCAGCATCGCGGCAATGAGCAGAGAGGACAACAGGTGGCGGAATGAAGGTGCCTCCATCCTGGTGACAAGCGAGTGGCCGTACTTGCCGGCTGCAGCTGGCTTACCTGTCCCCCCCCGATGCTCTCCCCTGCTACGGGCCCCACCCTGATGCTGGCGCCGCCACCTGATGGCTTGCCCTCTACTTCAAAGGCTGCACACAGACAACGACGTGATCAGCATCCTATAGCACCCGCCCATGCCATCACTGCACCCAGTTGGCGGCGCAGCAGCCAGGCAGCAAAATGAATGTGCAGCGGCGTCAGAACAACGCCGCCCCTCACTAGCTCCAATGTCGCCAGACGGGGTCAGAGTGACCACAAAGCGGTTGGCAGGTGACACCTGGATGGTGCTGATGGTGGGTGCGCCCGGGATGCCCGGCGGCCGGTGGAGAGTGAAGTCTAGATAGTGGGCATCATCAAAGCGTCTGGCGCTGTCTGCGACAGTAACGAGCTCAAAGGTGGCCGCAGCTGGGTCGTCACACTCTGTGTCGATGATGACTCGAGGGACAGCCAGGTAGATCTTGCATGTGGAGGCCTGCATGCATGCTCCGGAGCATCGCGTGGGAGCCAGGGCTGGGGTGCCGCGCGACGGACCCCACACTGCGTGCAGCAGTTGCCAGGACTGCCAGCGCAGCTGTAATGGCCATCCAAGCAGGCAAGCTAGTGCCTGCAGCTGCAAGCAGCCGTGCGGGTGGGCCAGGCACGTAGGCCGCCCGGGTGCCAGCTCAGGCCGGACCCACCTGGAAGAAAATGCGGTACTTCCCATTGGGCCGCAGGACCACCTGCCACGCTATGCGCCCGCTCTCGGGAGCATACAGCAGCCGTGGGCTGGCGCAGCTGGTGCTGGTAGTCAGGTAGGTCCTGCAGATGGTCTGATCAGTCCCTCGCCCTGGAACCTGCTTTGGGCAGGATGCATTCGTGGATCAATCAAAATCAAACTGTCACATTCAGGAGGGGTTTAATTAAGGTGTCACCAGCGGGCCTCCTCACCCGAATGTAGCGTCCTGGGTTCCCATCTGGCAAATCTCCTTCGGCAGACTCGACAAAAAAGTCGAGATGCTGCAGCTGGCGGCCATTGTAAGCAAAAGCCAGCTTCAGGCCTCCTGCTCCTACTTCACTGCAGAAGGGCGGGCAGGCAGGTTGTGGTTGGAAGGTGGTGGCAGCTGGCATCCACAGAGGCACCACAGCCCGTGGGCCTGCTGCTAACGCTTACCCCGGCACACATGCATCAGCCGTCACGTAACCTGCAAGCGAAGCATGCATGGCAGAGCAGCCATGTGTTACAGTCACCCGGCTATGATAGGCCGCGTGAGCAGACCTTGGGGAGGGGGGGCACATGTGATCAGCCATGATGGATTGATGGCGCAAGCGCATTGGCACGCACAGCTCCCAACTGGGATCAGCACCTGGCGCGTTCTTGCAGACTTCTTCCATCACACTGAGCGCCAGACGCGTCTGAACTCTTTCCACTCGCGGGAGCAGCTGGGAGGTCAGCAGCTGGAGATAATGTGGGGGGTGGGAAGCAATCATGTGGGAGCGATTGTAAGGCAAGCTTGCGGGTGCACAACATAATCTGACTTCCCGCACGCACAATTGAGGGCCCTGTGTTTGCAGCGCATGCCAGCCATCACCGTTCTGGTGGCATCAATCCAGGCTCTCAGCTTGGCGACGCTCGTGTACACATGAGGGACCCGGCCTTCGTTACATTTGCCCACATGATAGGACACTATCCCCACCTGCACTTGCACATACGTGGGTGGCAAGCCGGGCAGATGGCGGCATGCCTCCGATCACCTGCAGCAGTGCCGGCGGCGGCGCAAGCAGAGCGCACAGGCAAGATTCTGCTGCTGTGCCTTGGCTTGCCTGGAAGTCTGTGCTTGGATCTATTGGAGCGTTCTCATCCTTGAGAAACAGCGGTCCACCTGCAAGGGCACCAAGATACGGGCTGGCGGTATGCAGGCCTGGGCAGAAGGAAACCCAGCAGGCACCCCCCCCCTTATAATCTCACGGCAACGCAGCCCGCGGTCATGCTGCCGCGCCCCCCACTCACCGCTGTCTCCCTTGCATGTGCTGGTGTCGCCCACTGGCAAGCCTGCAAACAGTGCATCAGGGGCAAGTGTGTTCTTGATGCCTCCGCATGAGCGCAGGTGGCGTTCCCAGAGTCCAGAGTAAGGGTACGATGTGTGCTCGCACCAGCGCACAGGTGGCTTTCAAAGAACGGGACGTTCAGCCTGTAGCCCTCCGTTTCGAATAAGTCTCGGCACATGGCGTCGCTGAGCAGGGCCAGCTGGGTCTGCATGGGAGAAAGCGTTCAGCATATGCAGACCGGTGGGCCTGGGCGCGGCAGCCCCCAACTTGAGTTGAACTGATAGGCCGCCGACATCATGACAAGCAGCTCTGCTTGCTGCCCATTCCCCTGCCCCCATGCCACTCGAGAGCGGCATACACGCGGGGCTGCGTGTGCCTCTCGCCTCCTTCAGCCTGTCGGGATACGTGGGGAGGTCGACTTCTGCGTTGTCCTGCCCCCAGCCGATGGCCGTCAGGTATGTCCCCACACGAACCGGGGGGACAGGCACACCTGCAAGAAACAGCACTCGTCACCACCAGTCACCTTCCCTCTTTTCTTTTCATGCGCCGGCAAGCCCAGGAGTGGCAATGCAGGGGTGGCAATGCAGGAGTGGCAATGCAGGGTGGGGAGTGCACACACACGACACACCAGCAGGCACTCACTCGGGGCGAGCGACACGCGCGCATTGCTCGATGGCTCGTCCAAAAGAAACAGAGCAATGTCATAGCGTCTCGCCCGGTACGATGCATGCACGATTGTGGCCACCGCCTGCCGTCGCTGGAAGTCGTTCTGGGCGGCATCCGCCTGGACGTCCGGCCAAAATGCGCCCACCCGTAGCTGCAGGCGGTGCCAGGCAGCCGGAGGGGTGGCGCATGGGCAAGTTGCTGGTGCTGAGGAGGCCTGCACCGTTTCTGGCAGCATGCTGGCGGGCGGCGAAAGCGACCCACCACCGGCAACGCCTGATGGTGGTCCTTCCAGGTGATCTCCCCCCCCCCGAGGGACGGGGTCCACCCATACGCGCACTGCAGGCAGCAGGACCAGTGGTGGGTGAGCTGGCGGGTGGCCTGCTGGATGGGGTTTCAGTGCAGCTGGCCCACGCAGCTGAAGAGACTTGCATGAGCAGCCGTCAACACAACGCTTGGTGCGATTAAACTGCAGGGGAGGGAGTAGTGGGGCAAGGATTGTGGCTGCCAGTAATTGAGGTGCGGCCGGTTTGCATGCGGGCGGGGCGGTGAGGGAGCGAGGGCTGCACGGCCAGCCAGCCTCACCTGCCACCACAGAACTCGGAGCGCAAGCCATCTGACTTGCGCAGCTGAACCATCCATGGAAATCTGCAGGCAGCTCCTTGATGCGGTCGCCACATGTCCAGGTACACGTGGCAACATGGGGAAATGAAGGAGGAGGCGGCGGGCGCCAACTGGCATGCTGCCGGGCAGGCTGAGCATGGGACAGCAAAATTGCAGAACAGTGGCCAGGCATGCTGGCCCAAACCTTTGCCGCTGGCTCCTTCTGCAGCACCGCACCTGCCCCTGTCTGCGAACCCGCCATTGATGATGGCAGCCTGCACTCTGTCGTCGCCAGCCAGATAGCGCCTGGAGGGAGGCAGGCAGGGGCGGGGCCATGTGCTGAGCGGTGATGGCATGAGGAGCGACGGGTCGCTGCATTGCGCCAGGCCGCGTGCGTGACCTTGAGATGGGCCCCAACTCAACAGCAGCAGGCCAGCCTCAAGCCGGTGCTACTCACCTGCTTACATTGTGGCGCGCCGCCCCTTGCTGCACCAGCGCTGCGGCCAGCAGGCAGAAGATGAGCAGCTGGCTGCCAGTGGCCATTGCCTGCATGCACTGGCACAGGGCATTCTGGTGAGTCTCCGTGAATCACGGGGGTGATGCACCACGGCGCCGGTGCAGCGTCGAACACTGGCGCAGGCCGCCTCCTGGCGGTGGGGGGGGAGGAGGCTGGCGGCAGCGCCGCATCAGCCCCTGCTGCTGCTGAGGGATCCAGAGGAGGGGCAGCCGCTACAAAACCATGTGGGAAAGAGACGGGGGAGCAGCAGAGGGGTCTTACCGAAGTTGACCGTAGTAGAGCAGCCCGAGCGAGGGGCAAGCCGCCACAAGCAGAGGCGGAGCAGGCGGGTCCGCTCAGCACGAGCGACGACCTCCCCATGCGAGGAGGAGACCCCCCGGACGAGGAGGGCACACACACTTGTGTCGGGCAGAGAGAGGCCCGCTTGTCCCAGCACCGGCAGCCCGTATTGCGGCTTGCGCTGGTCAGGCCAGGGATTGCCCTCCCCTTCCGCACAGAAACCAGGAGGCGTGAAAGCCCCCGGGAATGCTAAATGTTGCCAAGATAGACAGGGAGGTGAGCAGCTTCGTCCTCAGCTCCGCTGCCAGTGTGGTACTGGCTGGGGGTCATCCCCAGCCACCCATTCCTGTCTCTTTCGATGTACACTGTTTTACAGCTGTTTGCATCGTCGAACACAATGTGGTGCTTGGAAACGAACGGCGAATGAAATAGTAGCAGCAGAAGAGAAGCACAATGGAGCCACCTCACACCGCCAGCTCCGCCGGGTTGGCGCCTTGGTCAACCTCGGCGCCGCTGCCCCCCTTGCACCGCACAACCAGGTGGGTGGCAGAGGCGCCGCCGGGGGCCTCCACAACCACCGTGTCCTCCTCCTGCAGCGGGCAGCGCAGCGGGCCGGAAGCGGCGCCGTCGGCATCCATGTCGCTCACCCGCCGCCCAGGGCGGCAGCCCAGCCGCCAGCCATGCCACCCACACCGCCCCAGCTCACCCCACCCACCGCAAAGTCGCCGCGCAGGATGCCCTTAGCCAGCGCCGTCTCCAGCTCCTGCTGCACCACGCGCTTCACGGGGCGGGCGCCAAAGGCGGGGTCGTAGCCGCGCGTCGCCAGGTACTCCACCGCTGCAGGTTGGGGAGGGGAGCGTGCAGAGTTGGAGGGCAGGAGGGGCCGGGGAGAGCAGCCAGGGAGGGGGCGAAACAACAAGGCGCGCAGAGGCGAGAGAAGGATGGGTGGCAAGCGTGTTCTGTTGCAGGCTCACACGGCGACAGGCGCAGCGCGGGCCGGGCGCCTACA